AGGGGAGCCGAAACTGAACTACAGTGTGTCGTCAAGGAACCCAGCCTCTTTGCTGAAGAAAATTAACGTCTGTTCTAAAATACAATTATGAAGTGACCAGACACCAGATAACTGGGAGGACTGAGGAAGAAATAGTGTTCTTTCCCCCTAATAAGGAGAAAATAAAGGGCTAAATTCAACTAATCATAAGGAAGTGACCCGTTTAGCGAAGGAAGGAAATACACTTGTTTTTTGACAGCTCACTAGATAAAGAAACCTGGCCTCAGTGTAAACACAGAACTAAGACTACCAATTGTAAAGAACTGACACATCCCTCAAAATGAGCACCATCTTCATTTCCAAGCAGAAGCATTTGTCCAAGCGGCCTCTCTTCATTAGGCTCTCTGCATAAGGCTCCCACTTGGTCCAGTGGGCAGATGCCCGAGCTGGGTGCCGAGACGACTACCTACTACCTGTGGTTCTCCCCTAACCAGTTACGTGATGATGGCAAACCACATGCTCTCTTGGCACCCAGTGTCCTCATTACAGAACACCTCATTACGTGGTGCTATCGTGAGGTCTAAATGTGCAGATGGTCCATGAAGGGGCTTCAGAATGGCTTCTGGTGCCCAAATCCCCTGTGTTGCTGCTAAAGGTTATTAATAATGAAAGGATTTGTCAATTCAAAGAAACTTATGAAAATAGGAAGGTTTTTTGTCTTGTTTTTTAGCTAAATTGCTATCTTCAGTAAAAGAGAGGATATTTGTGTTACATAGCTATAGAGGACACAAATAAAATAGTCATAAGATAAATACTGCTTATCCACCTAGCTCTGCCCATGTGGCCAGAATATACTTTAAATTCACTAAGGGGCAATGCTAACTGTGCTTCCGGCAAGGCAGTGAGACACCGCATATAAAATGAAGAGCAGGGAATGTCAAACTACGCAAACATGCAGCCTATTAGAGTTTTAATCCATCCTCAGCACATTACCCAAGTTATTAGATTTGAGAGTCCAACCAGGGACCTCATGTAAAGGGTGGCTGCAGCCACAGCCTTACCAACTGAAGGGCTCACAGCTCCAACATCGTGATCACTGAGTACCCTGAGGGGTGGCTGAGGTGATGGCAGCTGACATAAAGGAGGCACAGAGTAGAAATGACACTCTTAGTCACAGAAGCAGGCTTCTAGTTCAAAGAAGAGAGTGTGGCTGTCCTACCCTGCTTGTGACATTCACAATATGAAACCCCAGCTTTCACAAACATTCCATGGCTTTCAAATGGAGACTTCTCTACGGACACATGACTCATGCTTGAATGGACATGAAGTGAACTGTGACCAAGAGGCAAGGTCTAGCTTCATTGCAAACTCGCTAACTTTTGGACCAATACCAGCACTTGCAGTCAAAAAAAAAAGAGCTTGTGTGGCATGCATTGCACTTCTTCCTTTCTCCTGCACACACAGCCACTTGTGAGGCAACTACTGTGGGCAACCCCAGGTACAGCGACTTCAACAAATGTCTTGCCGCCCTGAGCCAGGTCAAGCCACCCAAACACACAATACTGGCATTATGCACGAAGTGGCCTCATGTAGCACGGAGCAGGCAGGTGGTCATTTAGGGTGATTTCGGGCTTCCGAGAAGGCCCCCATGCCCGAAATCATACCTCCTACATCGGCTGGCTGATGACTGAAACTCCAGCACTAGAGAGTCATTCCTCTGGTTTAAGATGTCTTCACCCCTGTAAGAAACGCAGACACCACAAAAAGGGAAAACATGGTGAACTCACTCATCCCTTGAATCTCAGTGAAGGTGACCTTGTCCACTTTCTTCCCAAAGGCCTGGGGGAAAGGGTACAAGGGCACCAAGGTGCAAACAGGAGGCAGGGCAAAAAAGGAAGGATAATGTGAAGTATAGCAGCAAAAAGACACTTATGAACCCCACCCATGTTGCAATGGGGTTAGGTGTTTAAGGCAAAGGCATCAAGACAAATGTCGAAGTCACGCAGGCAGATGTCAACTAGCTGCATTTCCAGGGACAGGCTAAGGACCACTTCTGAATATGGAGATTGGAGGCAAGGAGGAAGCTATTCTTCCCTAACTAACCCTGTCTCATTCCCCAATCCCTTTAGGCTTGAAGATAACCGGAAGCATCCCAACATGCAGACCACTGCCAGCTAAAGCTCTCTAAGGAGGTCCTGCCTGCACATCCAGTTGATGGTGCCTAACACCAAGAAGGGTTCTAACATCCCTGGGGCCATGTATACATAACTGACCAAGAGAAATGCACTAGATATCTTTTATAGAACCACCATGAGGTCCATGCCACACAGTACCCTCTGCACCATCAGATGAAACCAAAACGACCAAAAATGACAATTATCTCCCTTCAACACTTTCCTTCCCAGCAGTTTTCCTCCTCCTTCCATGGTGGGCAGCCCTCTGGTCTCCACTGAGCATGCAGCTCCTCCAAATGGCAACCCACCCACTCCTTACACCCTTAACTGGAACCACAACCCCCACACGTCACATCAGGTCTAGGGAGTTAAAATGTCACCCGCATAAAGCAAATGTCATTGGAAGAGAAAGTCTGAACTTGCTATCCCCCATCTCTCTCTAACCATCTGAGTTTTGATCTCTTCTACCAACTCTAAATGTTTTGACTCATAAAGACAGTATCTTCTTGACAGCGAGTCCGCCGTCCCACTAATTACAAGTGAAATCTGTGCAGGTCTCCACACCCCTGGAGAGTGCCTTTCTCTTGAGTGTCACTGGTAAAACTAGGCCCTCTTCCCTCCTCTGCCATTCAAGCAATGTGAGGATCATGCCATTGGCTTTAGAAGCAAAGGAACCTTCCCCATCACAGGCTAACAGTCAGGTCAGTTCCCCTGGGGCTGGTAACTGAAGCTGTAGAGATTTCCAGATCCTGGCAAATACACACGTCAGACTCAGTGAGAGCCTTGTGTTACGAGCTATGTTTCTTTGTTATTAGCAGATGGTAAAATTTCTAGTCTGTAGAGTTGTTCCTGATTTCTGTTGAGAATTACAAGAATCGCCCTTCTCAAATGTATGTCATTAAAGGTATTTATTTATTTCTTAGGAAAATGGAGGCAGCCAACTGCATCAATATTATTTATTCTTTATTGCAGATGTTTAACAGTTCAGGAAACGGAGCTTTGTAATCCACTCCTTTTAAAAGCCGTTGATTTTCAGAATTAAAAACAATAGCCATTGAAAAAATGTATAAAGCCTTTCTATCATTTCCCATTTATTTGTTTTTAATCTATAAATTGAGGTATCTCCTAAGGCAGCGGATCCCAATCTGCATGGCACCAGGGACCAGTACTCCTATGAGAATCTAACTCCTCATGATTTGAGGCAGAGCTGAGGCGGTGATGCTAGCACTGGGGAGCGGCTGCAAATACAGATGCTGCTTTGCTCGCTTACCTGCCAGTCACCTACTGCTATGCAGCCCAGTTCCTAACAGGCCACAGACTGGTACCATTATCCTACCTAGTGGTGTGTCTCCAGGGTTCGAGTCTGGGAACAAGAGAAATCAAGGAGAAAAGAATGAACAACTTTTCACCTGTTTTGAAGAACGTTATCCATGTTTTAAAATTACTGAATTACAGAAATTCAATATGATCTGTTTTCCATGTTTTAAAAATATTGAATTATAGAAATACAATTCATTTTAGTCTAAAAGCATTTCCTGAATGTCACAGTGTTAGATGCTGGGGACACAATTAGGGCTGTGACTGGCCTTTCTTGCTGCTAAGAAGCTGACAGTGTAGGGGACAAGGGAGAAGTGGAGGAGGAGGAAGGGAGCCATCTGAAGCAGAAAACGTTGGCATTGTGTGGTCAGGGCCCTGTGGAAGGGGGCACAGGGAATCAGGATTGATTCTTGAAAGAGATAACCTTTGAGCCGGGCAGGCGGAAGAGAGGGAAGGGAAAAAGAAAGGCTTAAAAGTACAAGATACACAGATTACTATTAAATGGCCTTTGACAGTATTCAGAGGAGGTGACCCTTGTTCTCCCCATACCATCTTACTTCTTTAAACCAGCTGGAATTTCACATTTAAAGTTCCATTTCTTCGGTTTGCTCCACTGCTAAGCTGTCGTCACTACCTCATCCTACATAAGTTTATCTGATCCCTTCCTGAAAGCAGGTTTGCATCAGGCCTGGCCTTGAACGGCTTGCTCATAGAATAGACAGTCTTTTCTGTCATGGCACATTCATGGCCCTGGTACCACATGCTAACCTGCCCCTGGGGTGTGGGGTGGTGGCCACAATGGCAGACAGAAAGAGAAGGGACGAAG